GAGGACTAGAGGATTGGACAATTTGATCAGTTTCTTWATAACAGTTCTCACTATTTATATTTTGATCAGAATTCACTATTCCGTATGTACTAAAATTTGTTTCAGTGCTTGTACCTACTAACACATATAAAATAATCATAAATTATAAATTAACAAGAAAATTAATTCATTAATTTAAAACAAAAATGCATGTAAATTATCAAAACTGGGAAGTAGTATTTGTTAAAAGTTAAAAAACCAGTAAGTAGTCTTCTTCTTCGCCTTCGCTTTCCTCCCAACTATTTGGGATCGGCCACCTTTGTCCTAAACCTCCACTTTTCTCGATTTTCAAACTTGTGACTTAACTAAGTTACTGAATTTAGTAAATTTATTGTAACTTACTAAATGGTTAAAATCTATTTAAATGCCCAGCTTTGTTAACTACATACTTACTCACCAGGATTATCATTTATATGAATATCTGATAAATAAACAACTGAATCATTTAATGTTGATAGTTCTTCAGTTGTGAATTCAATTCCATCACCATCATAWATGTTTTGAATCTCAACTATTTGARGATCTATGCGTGGTTGAATTATTTCATTCACTTCAGGGGTGATGTCTAAGTATGATGTCGTTTCAGGGTCACCGCCAGTTAACATACCTACGTGCTTGTCTTTCAATTACAAACCCTTGTCTACTTTTACTCTTTTCGCCTTCTCAAAACCGACGTAGACATTTAGTATCTCTCATTTTAAAAATTATTTAATAATGGCTTATAAAAGTTAAAACTATATAAACATATTTGTCAGAAGTCAGTAAGATACTTACCTTATTTACACTTTGGTTTGAATTAAAGCTTAAAGTAATTCTTTCCCACGCATCATTATTTTCCCTATTATTGAATTTATCAGTTTTTTTTTACATTCAACTATATGTTTTTCTTTCGAAATACAATATAGGATAATGGCTTTCTCTTCCTCGGTTATTTCAGGAGCACGTAAGCGTTTCATTTTCTCATCCGACATTATAAAACGATGGTCCCTTTCACACGTCAACCTCAACACTTAACACCAAAAGTCAAAAGCCAAAAGATGAAAAGTACACGATTTAAGAATTAATAATAGGTGGTATACCTAGGTAGAGTATATTAGTAAAAATTAAAATACRCTTTGTTTTTGTTATTATCAGTATAATGTTTACTGATAACACTGATATAAACATATTAACATATTTAAAAACGATTTTTATTTTCATAAAACTTCCCAATACAATGAAACACATAAATATTGACTGTGCAAGAATATAATTTAGGCATCTTAAAGTTCCTGATGTATGACATAAATAATTTATGAGTTACATTGTTATGTAATACATAAGCTATATTATGTTGCCCATTATATCAGGACTATGCATACCGGCATAATGTACATTTTATCATAGTTATTTATGTAATAGGTACTAATTGTTTAGATGTTACTTAGTTTTTAAAGATATTTCTAGGTGCATAATAGGTAGGTACTACCTATGGTCCTCAGGATATTATGTTTTGCATAAAAAAAAATACAGCAGCCATGTATACACAATAGGTATAATAAATAAAAAATAAACACCAACTAATTTATAATGTTAAGACAACCATAATGCATTGTTGCTGTTACTATTTAGAATATTTTATTCAGTATATAAGGCCCTATAAAATAATAGAACTAATCTAATCATTATGTTAGGGCAACTATAATTCATTGCTGTTGTTACTATTTAGGATGGTTGGATTCACTATATAAGGCCCTATAAAATAATAGAACTAACCTAATTATTATGTTAGGAGGTTATGACAACCATAATGTATAGTTGACAATTTAACCATAATAATTATGTTGTCGCAAAACAATCGTTCCAACATTCTTCATTTGGTACTCCCGACTATGCTTAAAAGTTGTCTGTATAGCTACAATAATTTACAGTTACAGTAACTATTCTCATAGTTACTACAAGTCTACAACCAAATATTTTTTCCGTGTGTTATTATGAAAGATCAGCACAGAGAACGATAGTAATCGCAAATCAGATTAAAAATCATTGTTTTCAGTTTTGTACTTTTGTGCCATGAACATATCTTATATCATATTATACACTATGTACCTATAAAGTATACGTATATGATCTAAGGTTTGTATGTATGTAGTGGGGATTACACGAGAGTATGCGAAATTTATTTTGACAGTAATGGTCCAATTACTTACCTATAACATGAGTTTATGACAATAAATTATCGTAGGCCGTAGCTACCTAGCCATTAGCTACAACGATTATAGGCTTATAGCTATTGTATCTTAGGTTCGAACGATATCGAATTTATTACTATTAACTTCTGGTCTTTATAATTGATAACTATTATTGTGACCAGTGCCGAGATCACTTTMAGTGGGGTGAATTGCACTAACTAATGGGTATTAACTTTTAAGCAATACATTTAGGGGCACAATTTAAGCTTACTGTACCTACTTAAACCTTCAAATGGTACATGCCCGTTTTTTTGATGGACCTTGTATTAACCCCCCCCCCCTATTTTTAAAGGCACGTATTGTTAGGCGTTACACGACGCGGGTCCCCGTTTTTCCCTTTACATTTTTCAAATGAACTGTTTATTTTAATCTTCTGAAAAAAAATGCCATGGGCCATTAAAATTATTGTATTATTCACCTTTTGTGAAATATTATTATCTTTTTCTGTTAGAACTAGGTTCTTTACAAATTGTTAAAATTATTATACTTATTATTTTTCATACTTTAATTATTATTCGTTATCAGATGCCATTATTATTACTATTTAAAGTATTATTTTTACACGTTTGTGCGGGTGTGAAATATATTATTATGATTACCATAACTTAATTATTATCATTTAAATAGCGTAACCTAACAAAAAATTATTGAACTCTTATCATAGATCTTTGACGTTCATTCGTCACTGCGTGTATAAAAACCTATCAGTTCTACTGGTGAGCCTCACGACTTAGGCTGCGGTCACAGTGGCACCAACGTCGGTGAAACTCGCCCGATTATTTTACGTAAAGTAAATATAATACAAGTGGTCTCAGTGTCTCCGACCGCATCGGCCGATTACGCCGACGTCGGTTATCCATCGGACGAAATTCAATTTCATTTGCTTATATCGGCTGATTTAGTCGACGTAATCAGTTGAAATACAAATATTATTTAAAAATATTATATTTCATCATGGACTGCGAAAAATTAATACGTTTGGTCCATGAAAGAAGGAGCTCATGGGATCCTAGCAGTAAATCGCATCATAACAGAGACGTCGCAAGACGTCTCTGGGATGAAATCGCTGTATTATTAAAAAATACAAGTAAGTACTATTCAAATTTTTAACTATATTATAATATAATGTTATTAAAGTATAATGTAACTATATTTTATTAAATCATTCATTCTTCATTATATCGTGAAGATGAAAATAAAATAGTAGTTGGTAATAAAAATAGTTACTTTCTTGTTTAGAATTATAAATAGACTTCAATAGAGTGATTCTTAACTATTATAGCAATAATATTATGTAGTAGATTATAATGGCATGGTTCAATATAAAAATAACACAATTACACGAAATGTAAATTATCATGCTATAGYATACAACATGTATTTTTCCACCTTTCACTGTTATTAATTTTGATCAACATAAAATTAAATTACATACATTACAAATTTACTCTGTCATTGAGTTTATTATTATATTGTTGTCTTTGAAGTACTGTTTGAAAATATCGTGTATTTCATACGCTCTTCGTGACGATCGATTAAAACGTCTCAAATTCGTGATATTGTGTTCTGTTTCAAAGCTGTGTTCAGCTGTCTGGCTCTGCATGTTAAATAATACGGACTCCTTTATACCATCCTTATATATCACAATATTATGCAATAAGCAAACAGTATTAACAATAGTGTCTATATGACATGGTTCCACTTGCAGTTCAATCTTTAGACATCTCCACTTATTCACTAGAATACCAAAAGCACATCCAACCGAACGTCTAGCTCTACTAAGGCGATAATTGAAATTTTCTTTTTCTGGATCTTTGGCCTTGGCCATGGCCCCTCCCTAGACATCAAACTACGTATAAATAATAATTTTTTTCAGAAATCTGTATACTGTAACTGTATAAGTTCTAAGAATTATAATCACGGCCTCTGTAGTGTGTAGTTTTGGCATCGCAGTGAGCGGTTGGTCACACTGAGTGACTGATGTCTGGCCATGTTATTGATAATATAATCTTGAATCTTATATCTTATATCTCTCATGATATCTCTACGCTTCGCGCTTATTGGCTAAACTATAATATTAAATATTGAATTTTCAAATAGTCTAGTGTAGTGTACTGTGTATTATAGTATGTTCCGAGTGTTCCGACTAGCGCGACTACTATTAACTTTTAAGTCAATTGTCATTGTTTGATGCTCTGTTTCACGCAGTTGTTTTTTCCGGAAAAAAGTGTACAGTGTATTGTATTGTATTAATTATGTCGTTTTCTATAAGGAAACAGAAATCCATTTTTCAATTTTTTCAAAAGAAATCAAATGTACCACTTGATAACAATTCAGATGAAAAGGACACGCCGAGTGATGTATCTGAATCTATTGAAAAGACATATTCTGAAGTACAAATAGACGAAGAAAACACAACAGCTAAAAATATTGAAACGGTGGATTCAAATACGAACAATGATAGTATTTGAAGTCAAGCTCAATTAGTTTAAGTAATGACATTGGACATTTTGTTGGTGATATTCAAATTCGAATCGATGATCATACAAAATTTCGGCTACTAAATTCATGGAAACCAGGCCCATCATTTAACTTCCCATATTCTATTCACATTAAAAATGGCATAGAGAGAAAACGATATTTAAGGTATAACCATTTTGAAAATTATTCTTGGCTTGTTTTTTCAGAAAAACATGCTGGTTTATTTTGCAAGTTTTGTGCTCTGTTTTTAACTCACAAAAACGGTGGTAAACAAAAAAAATGTACCTTTACAAAAACTTGTAACCAGACCTTTAAAAGAATTTGCAAAGTTATTAGGTAAACATGGGTGTTTAGAAACTCACAATAGCAATAAATATCATAAAGAAGCTTCTTTATGCTCATCTGATTTTTTAAAAACCTATATGGAACCCAGTAATAATGTGGCTAATTTAGTTATCATTGAACGTAAGAGACAATGCAAGGAAAACAGAGAACGTCTAAAGCCCATCAATAATTCAATAATTTTTCTGGGACAACAGAATATTGCCTTGAGAGGGCATCGTGAAAACAATAATCTTACAAATACCACATCTTCCTCTTCAACTATAAATCAGGGTAATTTTCTTGAACTATTAAAATTTAGAATATCTGCTGGAGATCAAATATTAGAAAATCATCTGAAAACCACTCATTCTAAGGCGACTTATTTATCACATTCTATTCAAGAACAAATTATTCAATGTTGCCGTTATGAAATCATTTCTTTTATTTTGAAAGAAGTAAAAAATACTAGATATTTTAGTATCATATTTGATGAAACAACAGATATTAGTAATATTTCTCAGATGAGCCTTTCTCTTAGATATATTGATAGCAATCACAGAGTTCAAGAAAAATTTATACATTTTCTTGATTGTCATGAATATGTGTATGGACAAGGTAAACGTAGAGCGATCATGTCAACTAATAACATTGACAATGAATCAGATGATAATTTATGTGATTTTGATCCCAATAAAAAACTAGAACCAAAACTATCTGGGGAAATATTAGGTGATACTGTAGTTTCTATATTAAAAGAAATGTCTATAGAACTTAAAGACTGTGTAGGAATTGGTACTGACGGTTGTACGGTCATGACTTCAACAATACATGGAGCGGTTCAACAAATTAAAAAATCTGCAAACAACGCTATTCATAGTCCTTGTTCCAGTCATTCACTGAACCTTTCCATATCTAAATCATCAAATGTGCAATCATTGAGAAATAGTATGGGAAAAATACAAGATATTATACCTTTTTTTAATAAATCATCAAAAAGAGGGTTTATCTTAAAAAATACTCTTAAAGGACAAAATCGTACTTTAACAAGTCTTTGTGAAACGAGGTGGATCGAACGATACGATAGTGTTATTCAATTTCAAATATGTTTACCAGAAATCATTGAGTCCCTAGAAGCTATTTCTGAATGGAATGATCTTACTTCTTCAACCAAATCCAAAATTCTATTGACTGGAATGTGTAATTGTGAATTTTTAATAACATTATATAGGTACACTCTCTAATATTTTAAGTGTAAGTTTATCAGCTAGCAGAGCTTTACAAGGAGTTGAACAAGATGTAGTTGCTGCATTTGATTGTATCAAATCTGTCATCAATAATCTTAGTGAAAAAATAAAAAATTGTGAAGATGTATTTAAAGGTATATTTAAAGAAGCTAAAACTGCTATGGAGAAATTAGACATTGAGATCAAATTACCTAGAACTACAAACAAACAAAGAAATAGAGCTAATACACCTGCCGWTTCTCCCGAACAATATTACTTGAGAACATTATTCATACCGCTAACTGAAAACATATTGGAAGATTTACGAGAACGATTTATTAATAAAAAAAATGAATCTTTATTATTATTAGTTCAACTTATACCATCCTACATCTTAAAAATATCAAATAAAACTTCAGAAACCATTATTGAAACAGTAATAAAAAACTATAACTATTATTTAAAAACAAATGCTGTCACTCTCAAAGGAGAAATTGAGTTTTGGAAAACCAAATGGCTGAGTTCAGACAAAAATACTGATGAAGGTAATATATTATATAACCATAACTTTGAACACATGATTGCAACTTAGTATACACATCCATAATAATTTTATTTTTAGAATTTGAACCTCCAAAAACTGTATGGGCATCATTAGATAATTGTCCGCCAATAATATTTCCAACAATTCACAACATTCTACTGATATTAGGGACCCTTCCCGTAAGTGTTGCTACAGCTGAACGCAGCTTTTCGACGTTTCGCAGGTATAATTATTATTGCTTAGCTTGCTTGCAAATAAATTTTAATACTGCCTTTGCTTTTGCACATTTGATTAAAAACATGGTTGCGGTCACAAATTGGTTAAGATAGACTAGTAGGGCTAGCGCTACTTAATGTTCATAGAGAGTACAATATATCAGTGGAAAATATAATTGATCGATTTGCATCGATGAAGAAAAGAAATTTAGATTTTGTATTGTAGACGACTAATATTATGTTAATTAACCATTTAAATTTTTTAATATAAATATTTATTTTACATTTTTACATTCATACCTACCTATTACAT